CTTGATGACGCGGACAAGGAGATTAGGATCCTGATGTTAACATTGCGTTAAGCAGCCTTGTCGCATCCAAGGACACGCACATTTACCTTGATTGTCCAGGCAAGAGCGCAAGAGTTCAATGTAGTTTCTTTTACGAAATAACTCGACGGGGGAGTAATGGAATGGCTCAACTCGAAAACTAGACAGTATTTATACCACCACATTCAATTGTTTGCCGTCCGAACGATAGGAAGCACGAATTATGAGTGGACCGGCTTCGTGCTCGTACCGTCTCTCGTTCGGCAGATGGTACTCGAAATCTAGAATCTAGATAATGAAACGTTACCAGTTTATTGGTGTCGCTAGCAGGCCGAAAGATGATCAGAATGATCGTGTTCTTTGGCCATATATTTGAGCTACGGGTGTATGCGGCAGAAGCACCCAAAAGCGACGATAAGGGTAGAATGTAGCGGCTCTTTTGACGGAATATGTAAGAATCAAATCTGTCTCATAACTCATAAAAGTGAATGAGATCGATTCTGACAACAGCCTATACTGATATTACCTGATTGTATCTTAGCTTACTCGTCACCCGGACCCTGAATGGCGCGAGCAGCTGTGTAAGAATTATACCGACGGCTTCAAGAAGCAGTTCCACACAGATCTAGGAAGGATCCTGGGGGTTCAAACAATCCCATCCACAGGCAGAAAAAGGCGATGTCAAAGCGGGAGTTATGAAGTTTGTGTTTATTTGGGTGAACAAACAGTACAACCATCACTCCCACTGATCTTTTGTTCATCCACGATATAATTTTCCTGTAATCTGATCCAAATATTCACGACATCATGAACATGGACGATGATTCCGCAGAAATAGAACTGGTGAGAGTACTTTCTGCTAGCGGTTCAGTGTCAATAATCTCGTCTTAGCTTGAACAGAATTTGAGCAAAACTCATCAGATATCTCAGAAAATGACAAGTAACCTTTGCGTTGATTGTGATTTGCTCATAACTTAACCACTCAGCTATTCTGAACAGCTTTGACACGCGCCTTGCTAGGCTCGAAAAGTCCATCCTACCGTTGTACAACTCTACTCAAATTTTGAATCGAAGAGCAAGTAGTACGTGGTGAACTCAATTCAGTCGCATTCAAAATGCCAACTTGCTGCAGACATTGAGAAAGCATTGATGAAGATCGATGAAGTAGCAAGTAATCAGGAAGGAATAGCTGCTGAAGAGGCGTTGATTCTGAGAGGGTGCGTCCTTCGCTCGATTCAAGCTACGCTGCCAAAGTGACCCATGAAATGTAGACCACAGCCAGGAGAATTCGAAGTATACAAGGATGCGCTCCAACGGCTCAACGCTTCAATCGCTTTCAAAGCGTCTGACCAGGATACCTTTGATACAGCTCGACTAATAGAAACCGGCGCAAAGAACCTTGCTCAGCTTTATACAAAACTGGTTGCCGAAGGTTCTTCTGGTACAACGCCAGCTCCTGGTGTTGAAATTGTTAGAGCTCCCTTTCCATCGCAATTGCGCTCTACACTCCAGCCCATAGTCGCCTTCCTTCGCACATTGCCCGTTCCATCCACTCATCCATCACATCCGGCTGCTGCTGCGATTCTCACGACGCTCAAGGAGGCTCAACGTGGATACGCTGATATGCGAGGGACGTGGGGCAAGAAGTGCCTTGAGGCACACGGGAAACGCGTCGTTGATCGCGCGGACACAATGGAACCTATTGCTACAGGAAAAGAACTTGGAACATGGGTTCAATCCGTATTATCCGTCGCCCGTGAAGAATATGATCTGCTGACAGAAATGAGCACCCTGGCTAGTCCGTCACAACTCGCGTCTCATTTCGGTAACCTTCTCAACCCGCTCGCGCTTTTGATGAGCAGCATTATCACTTCACTGGTGGCTTTCTCCAAGCGATCTCTGCAAAAGTATGGATTTTTAATACTCTCCGCTTATGAGGCGCTTCTTGAGCTGCAGCCCATGTGGGATGAGATTGCTGTCCTTCGGGTATCTCCTGACAATCGGAAGGAGACAAATGAGTACAAAGATGTTCTTCAGGTTGTTCGAATGGTGTGTATCAGGATGTTCCCAGAAGCCCTTGCGGACATCAAGCTATCAACAGCAGGAAGAACTGGAGACACTAGCACAGCGCTACTAGATGCTTCAGTAGAGGTGAAGTTTTGTTCTTTGAAGGCCACGCTCGGAATTAATGTCACTTTTACAGGTTGTGCAGTTCCTTAACAACATGCAAGAGGTTCTCGTTGGCTCTGGTGATATTTTATCAGTAGTAGGTGACGGAAATTGGAAGATGGGAGAGGGCGTCGTAGTCAAAAAACAAGCAATAGTTGAAGTCAGTGCACAGACGTTATTGGAGCATTTTATTTGTATGTTCCATCTGCATCGAACCGCGCCTACTAAGCCTCATGAATCTTTTTTAGACGATGTCGTTCTCACTATCATCAATACGGTCAGCCTTATCGCCCGCACCCAAAGGCGCCCGCCTTTCGATTCGTTTTTCCTGCTGAACAATATTGCCTATCTGCGCAAGAATATCTTGGAGCCCCGACAAGACTCGTTGATTGATTACCTCACAAAACCTACGCAGGACGTCCTGAACTCAAATTTCCGCACAGCAAAAGCGAGCTACCTTGACGCCAACTTTTCTCCCCTCATGCAGTCGCTTTCGGACGATCCCAAGGAGAAGGGCAAAGCCGCAACAAAGGAAAAGTTCACGAGATTCTATGACCTACTCGAAGAAGTGTTGGAGAGGCACAGGTTAGCGAAGATATTAGAGGATGACGCAGAGAGCAGAGAGGCCATAGGGAACGATGTCATCAAGTTCCTTATTCCATCGCTCAAGGCGTTCACCCAAAAGCAAAAAGAGAAGGAATTCAGTAAAAGTAAGCATCTTTGTGGCTCTCGAGTGAATTGTTTACCTTTGCGCTAAACTTCATTTTTCCTCTCAATCCTACTACGATCCAATCATGAAATTTAGATCCCCAGAAATGTAAAAGTCCTCCCATTACTGTTCCCGTATGCTACTGATTTATTTCTGTTCTCAGACATTAAACTGTCCGCGGAAACGGTGGAAAGTCAGTTGAGAAGCATCTATCGATAGTGATCGCGATCGCTGTATTATGTGTTTTGGTGGTTCAGAGTACATATTTATATTTTTCTTTTCTTTTGGCTCATGTCTTCGCGAAAGCTCGAGGAACATGAGAATCTGCGGGTGCTTTCTTGCCTCGTTTTCAGCTTCACGTTGTGGAGTCCAACTCTGAGAGAGCCGGCTACTACTTTATCTTCGTCGTCAATTGACACCGTCTCGTTGGTTTATTCACCAAAAAGGCTTTTTTTAATCATACTGATAGCTTTTTCATGTCCCTTGCCCACCAAACTGCTGGGCCGACAGAAACATTTTCGAACCCAGCTTCTACTCGTACGTACAACAAGGACATGAAGATGTCTGATATGATGAAAGGAAGTTAGTATGGTATTGGCTGAACTTCATGTTCCGTTCTGCCAAGATCTGCTCTTGGTACGATGTTTCCGTTATTATTTTAATTCTCGGGTTAATACATCAATTATCCACAAGGTACGTATAGTCGTTGTCTGCTGCTCGTTCTCGTCATTCCCGGCATGGCCTTGAACAGCAAACTTGCGCCTCCGACGTCACTCCTGCTCAGTTGAGGGCTTTAGGCTGCAGATATGGGTTGTTGGTGGGACTAGGCTCAACGATGAATATGTATACGCCCTAGAACCTAGGTTCCATAAATTCCACAGGAAGGGGGGTATGAGCGGATTAGGGTGCTCACTATTCGAAGCCTTCTTTCCAGTGTGCTTGAGAAATTTCAACTGGATTGAGAGGCGAACATTCTAAACAAGAAAGGCAACTGAGAAGTTCTGTCAAACCGTAAGTGTATGCATTAGATTATGTTATGACTGATGTGAAATTTTAAGGCTATTAGGTGGTACGATTCAGTCGAGATATTCTTCCGCGACAATACAGGTCAGCACTACCGTCACGATAGAGTGTGTCTGACACGCCGTCCTGTCAAGAATAAACTGATGACTGTATTCACCAAGAAAATTCCACCTGTTGGCTGGGTTTTGTTCTATTCGTTGCACTCGGACAATTTTTAGATGTGATGATTTTCAAAGGTGTGGTTGAGGCCTGGCGCTGTCCGGATCCTGATCAGACATCGTGGGCAATTCCAAGAACCAATGGCCGCATTACGAGGATGCCTTTGACCCGTCTTCAAGGAGGAGGGAAAGTATAAAAGCAGGGCAGAACGCTTTCATGTTCTTCACTCGAACAAGTAACCATCGTTCAAGTACTTCTATCATCATGCAGTTCAAACTTGCCTTTGTCACCGCTGCTCTCGCTACTCTTGCGGTCGCCACACCAACTCCTCGAACTGAGCCGGCAAGCAGTTGCAGCACTGGCCCCGTACAGTGCTGTAATAGCGTCGAATCTGCGAGCAGCGGTCCCGTCGCGCTTCTCCTCGGGCTCCTTGGCATTGTCCTTCAGGACGTAAACGTAAACGTCGGCCTCACCTGTTCCCCCATCACTGTCATCGGTGCTTCGGGCAGCAGTTGGTAAGCTTCCAAACTGTACGACTTCATTGCAGAGCATTCGCTGACTGTATACCTAGCTCTGCGCAGGCCGTCTGCTGTGATGACAACAGCCACGGTATGATTATCCATTTTGTTTACATCAATCCTTCTTGATTCTGATCCGTCTTGTAGGTGGACTCATTTCCATTGGCTGTGTCCCCGTCTCTCTTTAAGCGTTCAAACCTTCAAAAACTGGCGACGATGTCGTAGCAGACATCTGCGCTCGTTTACTATCGTTGGAGTTGGAGGGGTTGAGACTACACTTTCATTATTCATGTTGGCATTGCGTAGGGGTTAAATTCAGGACGATGATTCTGTATGAACCGTTGTGATTTGCTTAATATGAACTGGTCTGTTATCATAAATGATATTGTGCGCATCAAGTCATCGGCCGCCTGGCGAAATGGCATCGCGTCTGACTACGATGAAGTGATGGTAATCAGGAGATTGCAGGTTCGACCCCTGCGGTGGTCATTTTACTCTTTTGCAAGTTCCTCGTAATCGCAGAGGAGAAAAACAACTGTACGAAAAGTTAGAGGTGGAGAGTCCACCTTCTCTACTATTCCTGAAAGTAAAACTCTGAGTCCCGCCCCCATGCGCATCCTTCTCTACTTTTTATAAACCTCCTAGTACGTATTGTAGAATAGCGCCCAATGAGCGCTTTTATTTCGGTAGTCCTCACACACAACCACTAACGATTCAAGACGTGGGAGTGCAACCCGGACGCACAGAGGCTTGAACGACAACCGATAATTTCGAAGTGTATCGACTACTACTCATGATACTGGATGAACAACGTGATGAGCGCGACGCTCAGAGCATCGACAACTTGGACGACCTGGACACTCTCAGCGACATTTCCTCTTCTCAATATTCTCCTTCTGAATTTTCTTCGTCAAGCTCTCTTTCTCCTGTACGATACTACCTGCGCTCTCTTCTCCTACCCATTGTTGAACGCGAATCTCATGTAATATCTCGCCTTCAAAAACGATTTCGAACTCCATTCTGGGATAAATATTTCGTTTATACCAGTTCGCTCGGGACGCATACGTTCTTTATGATTTTATTGCCGGCAATGTTCTTCTTTGGGTTCAGGGATATGGGAATGGGGTTGGTCATGGTGGGTCAATGTTCACACCGCCTTCCAATCCAAGTTCTCATGAACTGTATAGGTCATGGGTGGAGGAGTTTACGCAAGTAGTATCGTGAAGGACTTGGTTTGTAGTCCGAGACCTTTGGCACCGCCCGTTACACGCTTGAGTCAGTATCCCACCCTACTGGAATATCGTATCAATCTCACTTCTCACAGCTATAGGCAGCCATCATCTTGAATACGGTTTCCCTTCAACGCATTCCACGAATAGTGTCTCTATCGCTCTATTCTTCTGGGGATATGTCCACACACTATTTCCTGAGGATTCTATCGTTTACTGGACTTGTACAATCATTCTTCTGATCTACACATTGTCCATCGTCCTAGGCAGAATCTACACTGCCATGCATTCCTTTGTCGACTGCATATTCGGAGTATTACTTGGAGCTAGCGTTTGGTGGTGTGTTACCGATATGAACATCGGGGGATTTTTGACCGGCCTCGGATTTTCCACCCGGCTTCAAATTTGGATATCCGACGCTGTGTCGGGGTCCGCAACGAACATCGGCTCCTCTTCTACTGCCGCCGCATCTTTATCGTCGTTCTTCACGTCCGCAATATCCACGTTAACTCATTCCCCAGTCTCTCCGCCGCTCCTTTTAACGACCTTCTTTCTCTTACTTGTCAACCAGCACCCTCAACCAATCGATGATTGTCCATGCTTTGAAGATGCCATAGCATCTGGTGCAGTTGTTTATGGTGCCCTACTTGGCCGATGGGGCACTGCATACTTCCATCTGCACGACCTAGTCGAGCGTGTAGGCGGACCCCAACCCATGCTAGGTGCCGGATGGGATGTTATCAACGTACACAATAATAACTCCAATGACAAACTTTGGATTCCTATTGACAGAGATTACAAAGACTATATCCTTTTCACTCTTGTTGCCTTCGCAAAAGTTTTTCTCGGAATCTCCTTAATTTTTGTTTGGCGTCTATTCGCCAAATCCCTCTTAGGTCTTCTTCTTCCCCCGTTATTCCGACTTGTGGCGGGATTGGTCAGCGCAGCCAGAGTCAAACTGGGTATGAGGTGGCTGGGGATGCCTAATCGGAGGTTTTACCTACCTGCGACAGAGTATAGAGGTCCTGTCCCCAATGGGTTCATTGGAATGGGCGAAGAGGAAGGTGAATTCCTCGGAGACAGAGATGAGTATGATCTTGGGAGGAGGATGAGGTCAATACCTTCCGTCATCGACTTGCCCTCGACTTTGAGGGTGGGTGTGGAAGTAGAAGGTGGTATTGGGAGTGGATTGATGAGGGACAGACCTGGGAATGATAGCGTGAGTAGACGCGAAATTAAAAGTCGAGCAGGGAATGGGAGCTCAAAACTCGCTCATGAAGTGGGTGTGGACCAGGATATGGTCTACGCCCCAGATGGTCACGACGAAAAGCTGGGGAGTGGGGGCGGAATGAGAAAACACATTCATTACGATGCTGACGGTGAGCCTTCTTCTCGTGTTGTTCTCTGTCGTCTCTCGTTCTTTTCTGTTCACATGTCCCCTGTCATGTATCTCTCTCCTGTTTTGAAAACTGATTTGGAAAGCCATCTATTTTCTCCTTTACGATATTCTCCTTATCTCTCATCCTTTAATTTTCGTTCCCCAACATCGTATTCTCATAATCCCGCGTATGCACCCGATTCTTAATGTCATAGCTTCTACAGAGACTCTCCCACGACTTTTTCGCTTTTTTCGCCTTCTTCCCTTTCGAGTTGTTTTAATCCTTATTCGCCTGCTCTACAATAATACTGACATTCTCCTTCTGTAATCCAAACTCTAGTTCTAACCAAAATTCTCGTCTACGCCGGCATCGCCATACTTTCGATTGAGGTAACACCACTTGTGTTTGAGCTGCTTGGGTGGGGAGTGTATGTTAGTCCACCGGAGGGGGTTTTAGTCCGTTCGGTGAAGTTTGCCTAGGAATCGCCGTCTGTGTCCAGGGGTTTAAGATAGGTTTGATTGCGATTAGTCGCGGTCGGTTGTACGATACTGTTGCAGGCTGTATCAAGCTCGTCCGGGCTTCCTCAATTCTGGATTCGTTCAGGTTGCATGGTATTATGAGCGATAGAAAAGCAACCGGTGTTATTGTTATAGTGTATATCTATAATTTGAACTTCAGGAAGATCACTTTGGGTTAAGTCATTCCATTGGTAGTATCCGACGAGTAAGTATCTTCATCTGAATGAACGTTCAGACAGCCTACTTACAATTTTGTGGATCCTGGATTCATTTCAGGCTGAAAAAAAAACATGACTCGTTACGTCTGTTCATTTCGGATTTTTCACTTTCTGCCTCGCCCTATCACGAACCCTCGAAGATCAGTTTTGCCACGGATTCATACTTTTCCGACGCGGGAAGCATAGCGAGCTGCCGTTGATCTGGAGGTAATAAACTCTGACAAGAGGTGAACAGTTTTTCGTTCGGCGGAGTTCTTGACTCGGAGAAAAGCCTCATTTAATTTTGACATAGGAGATGATTGAGATACGGACGAGGAGCGAACCCAGAGTGAACAAGGGCGAACATTCTATAGTTTAAACCCAGTCTAAACTAAAAAGGCAATTTCTCCTTGAAGGTTTGACAAGAGCCAGTGAAAATTAATCTCTGTTAATGCATTGATCGTATGGTGTTCTGGACATGGCAAGCTGTTCATTGGGTGGTATGGACGCCCTACTTTGACAACTCGTGCTATACGGCAAAATACTATCAAACAACAAGGTGCAGACATATCATAAAGGGAGTTGGTTGTAAGCGGGTGTAAACATCTCTGTTTTGATGATGAACTCCTTCCACACTCCTAGTTCATGTTCTGATTGCCTTGAAATTGTCTTAAATACAGCAGCCACGCCTAGTGGAGAGTACACGCAAGCCTTTTTGACAGCAGTTGACAGAAGCAAGGAATCTCGTCAGATATATTGCCAGGAATAATAAGGGGTGCTGGTTGGATCCAAGCATCCCGTTCTGTTTGGTGCAGCTCCAGTTTCAACCTGTACGCATGATTTTCTCGTTCTTCTCGTTCAACTCTTGATTTCGCTGACAAGAAATTTGACGACGGGTTTATTCAAGTTGTGAGCCTTGATCAAAAGTATGTCGCTCGGGTTATGAACGTTCTGGACATCGAAGACAAGAGTAGACAACGCACTTTGCAAACATCATCGTGACTCGTTTAAGTCTTGTGAGACAAGAAGAAGGCTTGAAAAGAATACAGGTATAAAGGCTGGACAAATATGAATATTCTGGATTTTCTATAACTCAAACCGTCGTTCAAGTCCTTTCTCATACTCAGCCATGCAGTCCAGATTCCCCTTTGTCTCCGCCACTCTCGCTACTCTTGTGGTTGCTACGCATGCGCCCCGCGTGAATCAGTTCTCACTTGATAAGTCTGAGGATGACTGCCACCTTGATCACAATGCAGTCTTACAAATGAGGTCGAATCACTCGGTCCTGAAGGCTGGCGCCCCCTCTGCCTCCCTGAAATCGGCTTTGTTTCATTTTTGTTGAACTTGAAAGCAGTGAAACCAGTAATCTTTCTTGTGATTCTAAGCTACAATTTCTAGTGGTTCCACAGCGGCAACGCTTCCTCAGAGAGTCCGGATTGGATGCGATTCCGGTGGTCCTTCAATTACTATCCGTCACTATTGCAAGTGAAATCCCCGTTTTCCATAGAGGATGTTAGAAGTGATCCCGCTATCTGGCGATTCGCGAAATATTCCCGCAGCGGGCTGGTATGAAAGATAATACCTCGCTGCCGCTATTCAGCAACTGAGTCACACTCCTTGATGTCTTGCATGCTCATGCACATTGACAGCAGTCCCCGACTATGTTCGGAAGACCCTGAGGTATGTACCGTGTCGACGGCGCCGCGATTTGCCACCGTCACGGCGTTCTTGCAATTCGATCTCTAATGGCTTTCCAAAATGAACATGTTGGGATCTATGAAAAGCGAAATCTGAGTGCTGTAAGTCGATCTGTGAAATAATTTCAATCAAGTGCGGTTACAAGTCACTTCGAACCGATTTCAGAATCATCGCAATTAGACCAAGTCTGTAGGCTGCTCTCCCGGCGTGCATTGATTTCTTCTCATAGCATAATTGCGCATTCGAAATAAAATTCCGTAACCGGATATCTGGAGCCCTCTCTTGTCAAGATAATTCCAATGGACTTTGATACCGTCTGTATGTCGGAGGATGGTTGATTGTTCTGACATTAGGGCTCAGACGGTCCAAGTTCCATACAAATCGCATTGCAACTAAATATATAGACCATGGTTGATCCGTCTTAATTAAGACGGAGGTTGAGAAGGGATAAAAGCTGGGACAAAAGTT